ATTCATACTTCATCCCTAATTTTCCTTTTAGTGGTAGGGCATGGTCTATAGGTCTTATCAAATGAATGAATCATCAAAACCCAAAAAAATTGTAGTGTATTATTATATGCATATATAAGCTAGTAAAGAAAATAATATTTAATAAATGGTTGAATTTTGAATGCTATAGAGATTTTGACCAAACTTTTGGGTAAAATACATTTGAGTAATAGAAGGAAGGGAAAATGACCAAAGAAACACGTTTAATGCCCTATTATTCTACAATAATTTAAATAATTCAATGATAATCTCTTTCTAGTAACGATAAAAAATTATAAATTAAAGTTGTATGACTTGTGAGTTGGATGATTTACAAAATGAGAGATTTGCTTTCTATTATACAATTCAATATTAAAAAAAAAAAAAACCTATTATTGTATGTAAAAGAAAATGATCCTAGCAAAGATATGAAGAGTATACTAATAAGAGAACTTATATAAGCTGGTACTCATTAAGAAAAAAATTTAAAATTAAAATTAGAGTTAGAGGTTCAATTAACTACTGTAATATTGAGCAACTAACTTTTAATATACTAAATATATATATATATATATATTTAGTATTTGATGTCCAAAACAAGCAAGTAACCATAACAAAGAAAGAAAACATTTCAAAAATCAAAATTCACTATTTTTTTTTATCTTTGTTGCATAATATGAGGCAACCCTGTTCCATCCCTTATCTTACCTCACCCGCATGTCATACAAGTCAAACTTAACATCTCTTACTTCCAACAGAAAGAGATTACCATCACTATTAGAAATTTGACTTTTTTTGAAAATAATATACTATTTTCCAATGCTAAAGTCTAGTATAAAATATTTAAAATTTACAAATAATTTTGAAGTGAAATTCATTTTTCAATGCTAAGCACTAGAAAATAATTTAGTGTCATAATTTAGTTTGGTGCATTCTTATTTTCCAACACCTAATGCTAGAAAATAATGTCTTTTGTGTTGTTTCTAATAGAGAAAATTTTCAAAAGAAAAAAAAAATAAAAAAAAAGTTTTTCACCCTTTTTTTCCGGTGCAAAATGTTGGAAAATATTTAGAATTATCAAAATTAAATGGTAGAAATGAGCAACTTAAAAGACATTATGGGTTGACCGTTAACCATTATTTTTCAACGCTTAGCACTAGAAAGTATTAGTAAGTTTTCCAGTGCATTTTTTTGTACTGAAAAATAACTATTTAGCATGCGTTTCTATTCCATCAACATTTTCCAATGCACAACACTGGAAAATTCTTATTTTTCAACACATTTTGAGTATTTTTCAGTGCAAAATGCATTGAAAAATAACCATTTTGTTAGTAGTGGTTGAACTATTTAGGTGTTAGATCAAATTCCACTATTAAAAATTGAATAAAAATTTATGATCACAAATTAATTCTTCCTTACTACCCCTGATTTCGGTGCTATGACTTGTCATTAACTAAATCCATATTTACATAAAAACATACATTGCTCTAAATTCTTAAATGTTTAAGACTCCAATCTAGATATCTCAAATTCAAACATTAAGGTAGGTAGAGAAGAATTTGAAAAAGGAGAAATCTATGATCCCTTGTTATATGCTTTAGCATCAAATGCACACAAAATAAATACTCCCTCCAGTGGTTCCAAAAAAAAAAAAATTCTCTTTCTTTTTTAATTAAACTATTGTTTTTGACTTTTTCACAAATTAAAAATTTAGAAACAATTTATGTGTTTACTTATATTAACCTCAAGAAAAAATAAATCAAGATAAATAAAACGGTAATGATCAGTACACCCTTCAATTCAACACACTTACCAACACTCACTAATTTAGCTATTAAATTTTGAGGTGAAATTTTTCTCACCTTGAATATAAATATATATATAAATAATAATTTCTTAATAAATGTATTGTAAAATATCTTGAATTAAATAGTGTGCCAATAATTGTCCTAAAGAAAAAACTTTGGTGATAAGGTGAAAAACAACAATATATAAATAATTATAATACCACGTAAGATTGTATCATATTGTGATATTAAATAAGTATGATGTATCATTAAATAAGTAAATATATATAATATAACGGACAAATTCTAAGTGCAAAAAATCAATTATATAACAGCATATTATGTTGTACAATTATAATGTCACATGTCATTTTAATTATATTATTGTTGTGATAGAAAATTATAGTTGATATATAAAAATAGAATTAAAATAGGGGGAAAATATTTATTAAAATAAAAAATGAAAATTAATTTGAAACAAATATTGAATAAAAATGAAAATTATTTCAAGACAGATGGAATATATTGTAATTAGAATATAGTGCATATTAGTTGCGACCCTAAAAAAATTAGAGTTTCAACCTTAAATAATATTATTTTATTTAATTTTATTAATAAGATCATTTTATTTAATCAAAATTTAATTTAAAATTTAAAAATCCACATGCTGATACTTGCATTTTTAGAAATTGATATTTTAATTTAAAATTCAGAAATCCACCTATTGATACATACATCAAGAAACTGATTACATTCTAAAATAAAAATTCAAAAATCCACATATCAATTTCTAAATGAAAATATAAGTATTTAATAATGTAAAATTTTAAATTTTAAATTAAATTTTATTTAAATAAAATTACATTATTAAAATTCAAAATTCAAAA